CGGGAGGGGGCAGGGGGGGGGGATGCGCGGGGAGAAGGTGCCGCGGGAAGGCGGGTCGGCAAGACCAGCGGACGCCGAGGAACGCGCGGGTCAGTGGAGCGGCAAGTGACACCGGACGTCGGGGCAGTTGATTGCACTTTCGGCGTTAAGCCAATGAATATCAAGACAGAATGTGGGGCGTGCCCTGAAGGAAATACGAAGCGGGCGCTGAGCGGGCAGGAAGATATTTTCATGGTGAGTGGGCAGGAACAGGGAGGTGGTGGGCAGAAACACAGAGGTAGTGGGCTTAATTAAACGGCGTTCGCCCGGTGATTCGACGAAGTGCACAACCAGTGACTCAGCGACTTCATCGCGTGCTTACAGAAACGACGACGTTGCACGCTGCTCGGGATGTTAGGAAGGCCCTGCAGGTGGACTCAGTAACTCGATGTTCCCATGACAGTTTGACGGGCTTGTGTTTCAGCCACCCATAAAGACATGACACGGTAGGCCACCCTAGAACTGTGAGACACCAGGCCCAGCGCCGCTCGTGGCAACGGGTGGTAGCGCGGACGCGCCAGCTTCTCTGATGTTTACGTAAGCCGTTCTCAGCCGGTCCAGCCCGCTGAGTCCACTGACTTTCCCGTCTGACGCCGTCTCTCAGGGTGGGTGGGAGACGCGAGGAGATACTATGGGAAGTGATACTTTTCTTTGGTCTATACATGAATATCTCAGGACCCATTGAGAAGTTCCACACCACCACCGTCCCCCGGCAGACACTCGCGGCATTCGGTCACTACCGTCGAACGAGTCCCCCACGTCCATCACATTATTTTGAAGAAAATTAGCAGAGTCCCAAAATACGACGAAGCCAACTACGAAACGGAGAAGTACACAAATATGTCACACAACCTCTTCCGCTGGATGAACACCAATAAATGTTCAGGGAACAGGGTATGAAAATATCGTAGGCGTCCTGCGCCCAATCCGGCTGAAGCAGAAGTGCATGGTGTTGATTGGCATCGATCTCACCGTCTCACCGCTCAGCGATGGAGAAGGACGCAAACACCCGGGAGCTTATGGCACACCCCCCTTCCGCCCAAAAACAGCTAGCAGCCACCTTCAGCCAAGACACGTGCATGCCTTATAGATATTCTATAGATATTCTTACACTGGCGCCCACACACCATGACCAGTAAACCTACAACCCTGACGCCATCCTGCCCTTCTTGAAAGGAATGCTGCGTTATACCGCGGTCCGGCGGGCCAGGTCGGCCTCCCGGGACGCGCGTGGCACTCGGTCCGCCGACCTCGCGCACGTGCCGGGGTCGGCCAGGCCGCGTCCGCCCGGCATCCCATTAGCCCAGTTCGGTGAAGCCGCGCCGAGCCGCACCGCCGCCGCGCCGGGACAAATCCGGCGCGAGCGCGGCATTCGCCGGCGCGCCGTTGACCCGTGACCGACCGGCGACGCAGCCACACGTCGCACGTTCGCGCGCGGCCCGCGCCGGTCAGCGGTCCGCCAGCCGGCCGCGGCAGATGGCCGCGCCGGCGGCGAAAGCGGCGCGATCGGTGCGGCCCGCCCCGCCCGCCGCCTCCGCCTGTCGGCCCCGTGCTATTGAGAGGTCCGCCGGCCCGTTGACGTGCACTGCCGTGCGAGAAAGCCACGACAGCCGATACAACTGGGTGACCCAATTGCGCGAACGCCTGTTGCGGCGCTGAATCTGGCGGTCTCCGTGGGGCTGAAGCTGCGCTTGGCGCACGAAGGCGCGCGAACAATGCGTCGCGGCGGTCGGTGCCGACTGCGGAGCGCTCAGGTGGCGTGTGCGCCGGACGCCTCGCGCTCGTCCGCTCCTGCCCGCTGCGGACGCTGACGTGCCAGCCGCCTGACCGCCCCACTGGCTGGGTCGCCGGCGTAACGCAGGCCGACAGGTAAGGAGACGATCACCGGAGCGTTTTACGACGCCGCGCTTCCTATCGGCTCTACAGATGGCTTCACAGCGGCCGACCGGGGCAAAGGTGAAGAAAGACGGCCGGCCGTTTCAGTTCACACGTTCAGCCCTTCGTTGAGCGCGATTGGATGTCTTCCATCGCGGAGCAAGGGTCGGCTGCGTTGCAGCTATGCGGCTGAGCGGAAATAAGAGAGCGATTGAGATCTTTGCTATGGATACCAGAGGTTTCATCTTTAACTGCACACTCGCGGAAGAACAATGACGTTTTTGAGAGATGATCACTATTCTGGGAGATGACAACTATTGATACCGTTGTTGTTAGGACAGCATAAGTCAGTTCCGACACCGTGTGGGCAGCTCAAGATCTTGCTACTAGGGCATTGGTCATTCCATGGCGTCCAATATAACCGGCGCGCTCAAACGTGCATGTCCGGACATCCATGTCCCCGTGTACATTCGTTATCAGAATCTGCCTGATGGACTTAAGTTTAGGGCGTAACGCGCAGTTTGTCCGCCTGCCTTCGTGCACTGAAATTGAGGAGTGCGCAACACCTCATGCATCCCGTCCATCATGCACCCACCCATGCACCTGGAGCTTCGGGTCGAGGCACGTGCATCACCCGATTTCCTGTCCAACGGGCCTCAGTGGAGGCGCGTGCGGTGCTCACCGAGCTTCTCTCCCTCGGGCCTCTGCTCTGTTTGCCGTCACTGGGTGCATCCGCACGTGTGCCCGCTAAGTTCCAGTCCACCGGGCCGTCGGTCCGTGTGTCCGATGCGCCGCGCCGAAGCGCCGGCTCCCGCCCGCGCCAGAGCGCCGGCCCACACCTGCGCCAGAGCGCCGGCTCCCGCCCGCGCCAGAGCGCCGGCCCACACCTGCGCCAGAGCGCCGGCTCCCGCCCGCGCCAGAGCGCCGGCCCACACCCGCGACAGAGCGCCTGGTTTCCGCCCGCGCCAGAGCGCCGGCCCACACCCGCGCCAGAGCGCCGGCTCCCGCCCGCGCCAGAGCGCCGGCCCACCCTGCGCCAGAGCGCCGGCCCACACCTGCGCCAGAGCGCCGGCCCACACCCGCGCCAGAGCGCCGGCCCACGCCTGCGCCAGAGCGCCGGCCCACACCCGCGCCAGAGCGCCGACTCCCTCCTGCGCCAGAGCGCCGGCCCACACCCGAGCCAGAGCACCGACCCACACCCGCGACAAAGCGCCGGCCCACACCCGCGCCAGAGCGCCGGCCCACACCTGCACTAGACGCCGCGAACCGTCCCGTCCTTCCCACCGACCGGCCAGCCAGCGTAACGCCGCGGCGGTACGACACGCTCGTAACCTATCGCGCCGACGCACCGGACGTCGGGTTACGAGCCCGTCGTAACGATGAACCCATTAAAGAAGCGTTTTACAATTGAACCTCTAATCGGTGCTATAGGGGACTTTACAGCTGCCGACCAGGACGGAGATGGGGGAAGCTGACCGGTAGTTTCAGCTCACATGTTCCGCCCTTTTTGGGCCAGTGGCGTAGCCAAAAGGCTTTTGGGGCTATGCCCCGCCCGTAGATTTGACTGGGCCCTGTGATCGAAGGGCAGTGTTTTTTTTTGGGGGGGGGGGTTTAAGTATAGGGCTTTTAAACATCGAAACGGGTATCCGATGAGCCAAACTGAGATCCCGAACCCATACAGGTAGCCTGAATCCAAAACAGGGTCCCCAAGCGACAAAGGGAACTGGAAGTCCCATATGGGCCGATTTGTTCCCTCCTGGCAAAATCCTGGATACGCCACTGTAATGGACGGCTTTCATGGTGGGATAATGGTCGCTCCGAAATGACGCGATCCAGGTGATGTAAAAGAAACGATCGAGACATTCGCTACCGATATCAGAGATTTCATCTTTAGCTGCACACTCGAGAAAGAGCAATGCCCTGTTTGATAGATGACGCGATTTAGCGCCGTTTCCGGAGCAGTTTACATGTTTTCACATGGTGTGGACCGCTTGAGATATTGCTTCTGAGCACCAATCTTTCGTAGCGACGATTACGTAACGTGCATACGCCGCACCCCATGTCCATTGACAACCAGGATGAGGGCCCCCTGTTGAGTGCGTGGCTCACCGTTTTGTCGGTCTGTCTTTGCAGTGTAATTGAGGGACGAGCAGCGGCACATAGCCCCCGTCCACCGGGCCTCTGTCCGTGCACTTGACGGGCTCTAAGTGGACGCACGTGCACGAGGCCCGGCCTTCTGTCCACCAAGCCCCTGTCTGTGCGCCTGGGGCTCTAAGTGGAGGCACCCGAACCGCGCGAGCTCCTGCTCACCGGGCCTCCGGGCGCGTGTCTGGCGGCACTGAGTGGAGGCACGTGCACCAACCGAGCCGCCGTCCACCGGGTATGTCGCGCTCAGTCGTCCGGCCCGGACGCCGCTCCGCGCCATTGTCCGGGCGCACAGTGGCACCGGCCTATTAGCCATGGGCTATTGAAAGTCAAAGAAAAACCCAGAAGGAGCAGACTGCTGTAAAATTATAATTAACGTGGGCGCGACGGCACGCCACGCCAGGTTCCGGCGCAATTACGCTGATTCCAAGGGGTGAATTATCAGCCGTTTGGCTGCATCTGGTGCTCAGACACGGCCACACGACAACCGCTGGATCAAGAACGATAGCAACGGCAATATTTTGCTTGCGCCGGCGAAGCGATCAGGTGCGTACATAAAGGCGCCGAATTGGTATCATTGCCGGCATTTGTGCGTATGAATTCGCAGTGATGCCTGAAGCCGTATTTGATACTACAGGAGCGCGCGGGCTGCAAAGAACGGGTAAAGACCCCGATTTTGGCATCAACCTCAGGAAACTGCAATTGGGCATGCGTAGTGCGCACCATCCCTGCGTGCACCGGCGGCCGCCGTGCCGAGAACAGTCCACCGCGGTACTTAACATGGAAGCAAACACGACGCGCAGGTAACACATTCATCGCCCAAACATGACCGTCTACAAGGCAAGTAAACAAATGACGTATGTGAAACACCGCAAAATGACACAAATGCAGCCGATCGGCCGCGACGCGTGGGATCGCCCCCAAGGAGCCGCCGCACTGACCTGCACGTCTGCCGCTGCTCCCCGGTCCGGGACGGTGTCGCCTCACGCACCGCTCACACACGCGCGCCTCGCCCGCCGCCCGGCAGCCACCAACTGACGGCCCTTCTGCGGCGTGCTCGCCGCAGACGCGCCGGTCACGGATCGCGGCAGATGCTGCGCGGCCGGCGCCGCTTTGGCGCGCTTCTATGTTGGCGGCGCGCGCGAGCGGGGGGCACCGAGGTGACGATCGTGACGAGGAAGCGGAGGAGCGTTAGCGGTGGTTCTGTGGGGTAGCGGCGGTGCGATAGCGCGGCGTGCCGCGGCGGTGGGATCTTTGGCAGGCCCCGCTAGTAGTCTCTCACGGCGGAGGCTTTTTATGCGGAGGACGTCTTGCTGTTAACGCACATGGCCGTCAGTGCATAACAGATGCTGTGATGCCTTCTTTGTCGGCGAGGATGAGGGGCCAGCCGAGCCGAAAGTGGGCTGGCCCGGCACGCCACGGGACTGTAGGCTGCCAAGTCTCCCATGTGGACCCACATGCTACCGTCACTGGTATTGGGCGCGGCGTGTGACGCAAAGGTTTTCGACGTATTTGACACAGTTTTCGACAAGTGTCTCAGCTAATGTTGGTGATTTTATCGCTAAAGTGAAGACAGGACCGAGCTTGGCTCTCACTTGGTTCGCTCGGAATTGCTCCGAAATCAATCCAGGCAAAACAGATGCTTTAGTCATTAGGTCTATCGGAATAACCTGAAAACAATGTCGAATTTGATTTGGGCCAGCAGAGAGTAAACCTTCAGTAGCAGCGACCTCGTTATGTTGTTGTTGTTATGTTATGTTGTTAGGGTTATTGTACATTCAAGCCCAAGCGTCCAATGTCAGCACTTTTGTTGTGTCATTCTAGCCGGCCTGGTAAAGTTTAGCCATACATTAGCCCTGCCGAAGCCAACATGTTGCTAACTGAGGTACTTGTCACGTTACGCATTACGCCCATCTAGGGACCGTTGCTACAGAACACAAAAACAGATGCATGAAGCACCGAATTTGTGTGCCCGAATTATCAACTGAAGTGCGAGGCCGGGAAATATCTCACAAGTTTTCAAAGCACCTATAAACACCTGCATAGAAAACCGCGGAAAACACCTGGAATGGCTCACTGGTAATCGAACGCGATTTGCCCGTTCTGAACCAACTGCTAGTATTATCGAGTGCTCCCGAAATGTGGCGTGCACAGTTCTCGGTCCGAGTCACCTACGTTCTCAGTCTGTTATCGTCGACTTCTCGTGTCCACACGGAGCCTCACCAACGATCCCATGCATGTAGAGCTGCCGCCCACACAGGAGCTGCCGCCGAAAGCTACCACCGTATGAAACCGCACGCCGGCAGATGTGGAACGTATGACATCCCGTTGTTGAGTGGACTGCTGTCAGATTCTGGGTTCCAAGGGACACGAAATGTGTCGTGTTACGTGCGATCAAGTAGTCATTTTGCACTGTCAGCACAGGCCACGAAAATTGGTCAAGCAACGTTCTGGGGATTCTTATGACATGCATACATGCATACATGCATTCTTTTTGGTCAGATTGGCCGGATCGTTATTACTCAGGAGCTGAGAGGTCAACTATAGAAGATAACACCACTGGTGTGTCGTTTGAAACGCGTGCTTCATACGAGTGACCAGATCACCAGCTTACAGGAGAAGATTAGCGAAAGATGTGCAATTGCACAGCTGACCTGTCGTGTCAAATGTTTTCCTCGAGCAATGCGCATTGCAGTCGCGGTATCTTTTCACGAAGCAAGGTAGCTACGCTGGCATTTCCTGCACCGCAGCTTTTGTTTCCTCACTGAATTTCCGTTTTTGCACCAACTCACGCTGTTCGAACACATGCAGGAGATCAATGCAAACACGTATTTCACTACCCATGACCCATGCGTCACGGGAGAGGGAAGTGTCAAGTTTATCTATTCTCACGAATGGTAGCTGTGTGCACCAGTCTTGAATCCCAAGTCATTCGCGAAGCAAGCCGACGTAAGACGGTATCATTGTGTTTTAAGGAAACAATCTGGTTCTGCGTGTAGTTGTGATGAGGTGCGCTTAATAATTATCGCAAGTTTTTTAAAAATTATGATGGCAGTGGTCTATTGTTGATGCCGTATGCCGGTAACTAGGTTATCGCGTGTAACTGTTTTGCCGAGCATTTCCATGCCGAAAGAACCCGCGCTGAATTTTCCGTATTTGTGCCTCATGGAGCCGACCAGCTATGCTGACGTTCACAGCCGCTGAGTTTTTATTCCTCGGATATTTACATCATTCACCGAGCGTTGAACGTCTCGCGGTTAAGGGTATGAGCTGTGACGTCGGGTGCGTTGTTTATGTCCTGTTGCGGTGGACTTCACTGGAATTTGCCATCAAACCGGCAGACGACCATTTGCGTAGTCTAACTTCCGCATATTTAAGATAGTCATGCAATTTATTTCCTTTCAGTTGGGCTATACATAGCTGTTGCGTGAATTTCCATGCTGCAGTGAAGATAGGAACCATCAATTTTATGACGGACCAGGGCCTAATGCCGGGCATAATTAAAATAAAAGCACGAAGGAAGCACCAAATATTACAAGCGTGCAGCCACTGACATAATTTGACGGCGAAATCACATCTTACAAGCATGAACTTGTTTTATGAATGACTACTATCTTTCAATCTGGATGGTCAGAACGAATCCAAAATATGTTGCGTTTGCTTCTGAGTGTTCTTACCGCTCGCACAGTTTTGGAGGTGCTCACAGGAGGAGAGCCTGACACTCAATGAGGCACGACGTACACGAAGTCGTCTACGTTAGCTGGTAGGCTTGTGTTCGATTCGACTCCGCAAGGATGAAATCGATGCTTACTCAACGTGATTGGGAGGCGGAGTAAGATTCCAATCAAGCTTGTTTTTTCAAATAGTGATTCGAACCAGTTGTTGGTTCAAGCACTGGCACGGCAAACACTGATGCGCATTTTGACTCTGAATCAAACGAAAGAGAGTGAGAATCAGTATTCGAATCGGTGTGATTTGCATCAAAACGAATACAAGTTTGCGATGCTAGAACAAAGGTACAGCAGTAGATACCACCCGGATTTCAGATACTAGTGATCTTCAATGGCTGAACCGCTGGAAGTTTCAAAATAAATGTAAACTACCTGCACCACAGAACGATTAAAAAAAAAAACACATTTCGGGCTCTGTTCACATGTGAAAGAAATATTTACACATTCTGAAACACTAAGCATTCGTCATTTAGTGGATGAAAATGAGCACCGTTTAATCATCTGTGAAGGCTCCGTGGCTATATTTAGATGTTGCAGTATTTCTCGAGTGGGTTTTCTTTAATGCATTTTTGGTTGCATACGGCAGCAAATAATCGCAGAACTTGCTGTGGTATACAAGCAACAACATATATATATATATATATATATATATATATATATATATATATATATATGTATGCGTGTGTGTGTGTGCGTGTGTGTGTATACATATGGGAAATATGTTCAATCGTGCTGTTATTTATGTCCAAGACACTTTCCAAGTCGTCCATCTGTGCATCTTAAACATCATGTTTGCATCTTTGCCAATCAAAATTGATTCGTCACCGATTCAGCTGATTCAACTTACTGCAATCGAATCAAATCAAATTCAGAATCATTTCAGAGGGTATGAATTTGAATCAATCAATATTGGCGCAGTATCACAAAATTGCATGGAGCATTTGGTGATTACTGATTAGATCTTGGATCTGAATCAAACTAAGCGCAAGTCTGCTAGTTGCAGGTGAGGATGCCGTCGAGCAAGTAAAAATGCATGTCGCTGATAGGCTAACATGTTCTGTATGCCAGCGCGCTGATGAAAAACAGAAAAATTAACGCCTCCACAAGTTGTTTGCAGTACTTTCATCTGGTACCACCTCTGTAAGGTGAATCCTACAAGAAAGCGTAATTACACTGCTCCACAAATACCGTTCTGGCAGGCAGATTGGGTCGGGCAAAACAAGCCGTACTTTAACTCTCGCCCAAGTTGTAAGACCCATAAAACTTCATCTGACCCAAATGCATGGTTCAACGGCAGGCGTTTCCGATTATCTCCTCGTTAAAAGCAACAACGAGCGCTCGCCGGACGCGCCCGAGCGTGGAGGACCGTCCACCAGGCCCTCCACCAAGTGCAGCATCCGAACGCGACGGTGGCAGCCTCCCGAAGCGTCCGGCGCCGCCCGCGGCCGGCGGACGGCTCCGCCCGCGGGCCGTAAAAGCCAACGGTGCCGGGCGGAGGAGGCGCGCCTCCCCACCGACGGCCGACTGTGACGGACGGCGGCGGCGGCTCTCTCGCGGCGCCACTCGACCGTGAAGACGGCCGACCACCGCGGCCGACCGCCGGCCGCGTATCACGGGGGCCGGCCGCAGACAGGGACGCGGCCGGGCTGCTCGTGAGGGGCGTACAGTGGCTCATGAGGGAGCCCTCGATGAAGGAGTCCCGAAAATACATGGTTTGCTGGATTTCAGCGACTTTATGTCGAGGTGGCCTCATGTCTTTTATTTCCCCTTTTTATTAAACCAGGAAGCCAGAGACCATCAGAGGGTGTTGTGGAATTCGATGCAATGAACAAAGCAGATATTGAATGTATGCATCGAACAACCCATCGGTGTCATTCATGTTATAATTGTTCATTCTGCGTTCATTAATTCGGCCTTCCTGCACCGATTGCAGTAAGAGGCGATACCGGAATTTGTTTCCAGTTCTTGATAGATATTGATATATATTGACTGGCCTGTGGATTAAACACCCCACGTTAAATCAAAACAGGTTTCAACATTTGCGCCCTTATACAGCATTCTTATCGCCATCTCACACTCTCCTTGCAATGTTCGCCCACTCTCAAGAATCCATTGCTTAAAATTATATCAAATAATCTGCAGCATCTCAAACATCTAACGCAGCGGTGTAATGTCTATTGTTCGTGCTACTACAACCGCCAATCGACTCAGATTATTTATCTCAAAATTGCATCGGCCAAATTGAGGCCGCAGCCTAACTTAGGTGAACCTGACGCCCCAGCTCAACCTTTGAA